ATGTGTGTGTGTGTGTATGTGTGTGTGTGTGTGTATGTATCTATGTATGTATGCATGTATGCATGTATGTATGCATGTATGTATGTATGTATGTATGTATGTATGTATGCATGTATGTATGTATGTATGTATTTATGTATAATATATATATATATATATATATATATATAATGTTTTTTATATCCGGTCGATAGGTGTCGCATTGCCGAAAGACTCAGCCGCAAGAATCCGATCTGGTAGATGTGTTACACTAAGAAGCTTCTCCTTTAGCACGGCTGTATTTTCATTAGCATTGAACTCTGGATACTCATAGAAACTATAGAAAACCAACTATTATATTCAGCAATGTCTTCTGACTCTCACCGATGTCCTGTATCTCTGTACATATATCATACTGTGCACAAGGTGCATGATGCATAAAACTGTTCTTTCATTTATGTGTATGTATAGACAGTACATATGTATTTATATATATTCACAAAAAAAAAACACACACATAAGATCGATACATTTTGTACAAATAAAAACGTATTTAAAAACGTATTTAAAAAAATAATATATATATTGTTTAAACTTTATACGTATTTATTTATTTATTGTTGTCGCCTTGGTGCATATTTGAAACCTGAGGGTCAACGTTTTCAGATAGGTCTATTTTTCTTGTGTCTTTGATAAGAGAGTATTTATAAAACGTTCTCTAGTTAAGAAATCAAACAAATAGGCGTTTGCGTAAACGTTTATTTTTAGACCCCTTGAAAATAAACAGAGGAAAAGCGATGACGCGCTTTTTCGACTCTTGTTATATATAGTTGTGTTTATTTTATTTGATGGATATGGAATCGTTTTATCATATATTGATCACTACATATATATATATATATGTATGTATATATTAGTCGTAGTAGATATAGGATAGTTCACTATCTTCAGCTTAATGCGACTATTTACTTACGTGTTCTATACCTATTAAGTAGATTTATCTTTATTAATTACGCCTTACTTATTTCACAATCGAGAATATCTTCACTGTAGTTCACAGCGCAATAAAAAATTACCACGTAATCTTGTGATACATGCAAAGCTCTCGTGTCATGACACGACAGCATCCCGTACTAATGTTCGTGCCGACCTAGGAGTGGTGCATGTGCTCAACTCAGCCGATACATGATATAATTTTGAACTAATGCCAGTTCAGGCCTGGATTTAGTAAACCCACTTGGGTTGCTGGGCGCCCTATCTGTCACTCTCTACTCAACCAATATGTGGATCCCCGGATCGCTGCACAGGCGACTGACCCAGTTCATATTAAAGCGCAGTATCGGAAAGGTATGAACTGAGATGGCTATACGCATATGCGTGGTTGGCCTGTGATTAAGCGAGAATATAAAGAAGACGTGCCAGATGTCAACGAACCAAGAAGCATGGTAGAATGTTGCTCGTCTGTTCAACGATGATGAACGAGTGCATACTTTTAATATTGTACAAAACTCATAGGTATCGACAGAACACCTAGCAAACGCAAAGCTATAACAAGTAACGTTCGCAGTTGTGTCAGTACATGAGTACACGTATGTTTAAATGAAAACATTA